TATATGTTGGTATATTATTCAGCCATAAAAAAGAAAGAAATCTTGCCATTTATTACAACATGATTAGACCTTGAGGACATTATGCTAGGTGAAATGAGTCAGAGAAACAAAAATACTGTGTGGTTTCACACACAGAATGTGAAAAGGCAAATACACAGAAACAGGGGTTTAGAATAGTGGTTGCCAGGGGCCGGGTGGGTGGGAGAAACAGGGAGATGTCAGTTGAAGGGTATAGACTCCAGTTATGAGTAAGTTCTGAGTATCTAATGTATTACATAGTGCCTGATAGTTAACAGTATGGTATGATATATTTGAAAGTTGCTAAGAAAGTTGGTCTTAAATATTCTCACCACAGAAAACAAAAAGGTAATTATGTGAGGTGATGGAGGTGTTAACCTTATTATGGTAATCATTTTGTGATATATACATGTATCAAATCATCACATTGTATATTTTATACTTACAAATTGTCTTATGTCAATTATATTTTAATAAACCCAGGAGAAAATATAGAAAAGAAACCTTATGTTCATATGGCTTACTGGTGAATTTTACCAAATATTTTTCAGGAAAAAATAATACTAATTCTACACAAGCCCTTTCAGACAACAGATTTAAAAAAAATTGTTAGTGAAGGGGCACCTAGGTGGCTCCGTTGGTTAAGCGACCGACTTTGGCTCAGGTCATGATCTCGCAGTTTGTGAGTTCAAGCCCCGCATTGGGCTCTCTGCTGACACATCAGAGCCTGGAGCCTACTTCAGATTCTATGTCTCCGCCTCCTGCTCACACTCTGTGTCTCTCTGTCTCTCAATAATAAATAAATGTTAAAAATATTTTTAAAAAATTGTTAGTGAAGTATTCTTGACGCACAAGGCTACATTAGTTTCAAGTGTACAACATATTGATTTGAAAATTCTATACATTACTCAGTCCTCCCTATGGTCAATGTAGTTGCCATCTGTTATTATAGTATTACTGACTATATTCCATATGCTGTGCTTTCATATTTGTGACATATTTATTACATGAATGGAAGTTTGTACATCTTAACCCCCTTCATTTTTTATGCCCATCCCTTCACCTACCTTCCGTTTGGCAACAACCATCGTGTTCTCCATTTTTAAGAATTTGTTTTATTTTTTAGGTTCCACATAGAAGGAAATCATATGGTATCCTTCTTTCTCTGACTTATTTTGCATAGCATAATTCTTAATCCATCCATGTTGCTGCAAATGGCAAGACCTCATTTTGTTAAGCACAAATAGTATTTCATTGCATGTGTGCATGTGTGTGTGCATGCATGTGTGTGTGTATAAATATATGCATATAGATAGATGATACAGATATAGATACAGATGATATAGATATAGACGATGATATATAGATATAGCTATAGATGATATGGATATAGATATAGATATAGATATAGATATAGATGCAGATATAGATATACCTTCTATATTCATTCATCTATTGTGGGACACTTGTGTTGCTTCCATATCTTGGCTATTGTAGCTAATGCTGCCACAAACATGGGGAAGCATCTGTCTTTTCAAATTATTGTTTTATTTTATTTGAGTAAATAGCCAGTAGTGAAATTACTAGATCAAATGGTATTTCTATATTTAATTTTTTGAGAGAACTCCACACTGTTTTCCACAGCGGTTGCACCAATTTACCTTCCCACCCATGGTGCATGAGGGTTCCCTCTTCTCCACATCCTCATCAACACTTACTATTTGTTGTTTATGTTATGTTATGTTATGTTATGTTATGTTATGTTATTGTATTTATTTTAGTTTTTTTTTTTTATTTTGAGAGAGACAGACAGCATGAGCAGTGTAGAGGCAGAGAGAGAGGGAGAGAGAGGAGCTCAAGCAGTACAGAGCCTGACATGGGGCTCGATCTCATGAAACTATGAGATTATGACCTGAGCCAAAATCAAGAGTCAATCAACCAACTGAGCCACCAAGTTGCCCCATCTATTTCTTGCCTTTTTTGATAGTAGCCATTTTGATTGGTGTGAAGTGATATCTCAGTGTGGTTTTGATTTGCATTTCCTTGATGATTAGTGATGTTGAGTATCTTTTCCAATTTAGACAATAGATTTTTATCTGTTATTATTTTAACTCATTTTACAAATAATTTTATAAGAGTAAAAAATGATTTTGAAAATAACTTCATTATAAATGTAAGAATTTAAACATAGGTAACTCAAATGTTAT